TTTCTAAAATGATGAATACATGAAAGGAAAAGGCTTCCCTTTACTCTATCCCAAGCAAACACATTATCTGCCTGGAGAAAAATGTATTCTTTTAAAAATGTTAATTATAGGTCTTCTCCAGTTAGAAGTTATTGAAAGAAAGTAATGGTAATTTTCTGAACAGAGGCTAGGACTTGTTCAGGTTTGCCCAGTCTGAACATTCAAAGGCATCTCTTAAGTATTCATGTATACAATATAAAAGCAGGCAATTCCATGTATTAAAAGCAGCTCTCTTCATATTAAACTAGGAATTGCTTCTGGTCCATGAAATTGTCATTTTCCCCCCTTCTTGCTAGAGTTTGTGCTTGTCGTAGATATATAAGAGCTGGAAATTCAACAGATGGAGGTTATTCTCAAAACTTGTTAGTATATCTGTTATCATCATGGCACCCAAACTGACTTCCATATATGATTAAATTAATAAAATTTAAAGTAAAATAAATGGGAAACTGAAATACAGGATGAAGAAGAACTTGCCACTATATCCTGTTCAGTGTTCACATGTATGTGGACCTCCAAGGGTGGAAGCTTCCATGAAAAGGAACTTTTGTGCCACAACGTTTTCCATAGTTAGAATTCCGTGTGTATAAATAGTGAACTGAAACCATCGGACTATTTTGGATCCAGCCCAACATCGTGGTTTAAAGTTGCTTCATCGAAAGTCAGAATAGCTATGATGCCTTCTAACATCTGCTAGGACAGTGGTTCTTAATCTTGGGTTACTCAGGTGTTTTTGGACTACAACTCCCAGAAGCCTTCACCACCAGCTGTGCTGGCTGGGGTTTCTGGGAGTTGCAGTAACACCTGAGTAACCCAAGTTTAAGAATCACTGTGCTAGGACAATAACAACAGTAAGAAGAAAACAGTATCAAATCAGTCTGATTATAAACTAACTGTCAAGATCTGACTCCAAAGACCTGCCAAGCACAGAGGTTTATGAATTGTTCTACTGGCTAACTTGTGTTAAGAGAAAAATCAGAAAAAGATGAAGAAAAGGGTGGGGTAGGATCCAGTTATGCTGGGTCTAAATTCTCCTCCAACCCTGGGAAACAGCTATAAGCAAACAGTTGTTGTTGTTTCAACTTATATGCCACGTCATAGTGCTAGGCAGAGATGGGGGCTCGACACACAGGACTTGCTGTCAAGTCGGACTGAAGCTGCACCGGCAACTTGACTTAAAGTGGTTGTGGTTTTTTTTTCCCAATGGCTTGGACTGAACTCATGGTTCATAACCCACCCAGCCCCTCTCTCTTTTTTTCTTGAGAAAAGAACTTGTTTTTAATAGGGACTCAGACCTGGGACTTGAGACTTGGGTAAGGTAAAGGTAAAGGTTCCCCTTGACAATTTTTGTCCAGTCGTGTCCGACTCTAGGGGGCGGTGCTCATCCCCGTTTCCAAGCCATAGAGCCAGCGTTTTGTCCGAAGACAATCTTCCATGGTCACATGGCCAGTGCGACTCAGACACGGAACGCTGTTACCTTCCCACCGAGG